ATCATAAATTTCATTGCTCATAACATAAATACTTAAATATTTTGTATTTTATGTCATTCTATTTCATATCATCAAAGTAATTTTAGTTACTTTAACAATGGATTCTCGATAAACAGAAACCAATTGGTGGAAATCATAGGCGCCAACTACGGGCAGACCACTTTTTGCTCCCCTAATAATTTTATTGGGGGGCAATGCCTCCTCAATAATTTTTACCTTTTGGTTAACAAACGGTATTTTAACAATTGCAAATAATTTCTGCGATTAAAACTGTGAGAAGACATCGGCCACATGACATATGTTACACATAACGTTGACGCGGCGAATTAAAAGTGATGCTCGCGCTGGCACGTCGTCTCCTAGGGTGCCTTTCAACAAGAGATGGTGTAATGACACGGTGTGACACAGTGTATTATTACATTCTTGTTGTTCGCCAATGTTAAACAAGGAGATGAGATGATTATTGTGTTGTACCGATTGTAAGTCGCTTGTTGAGGCGTGTTTTGATTTCCATTAGAGTGCTCCTCGGATGTCATTTTATCCTTGTTTAACGTTTGTTAACAACAATGATGACATGACATCCGGGGAGCACCCAGGTGGGAATCTGAACATGCCTCTAAAAGGAACCCCCTAGTGTACTTGCATATACACGTACCAGAGAGAAACCTAAGAGAGGACATGAGTGCCTTTTTCCTGTAATCGCAAAATATCTTGTGCACTAGTCTTCTGAAGAAGTGGATATCAACTACACAATATTATTCATTTTTTTTGCGATGCTCTTGATGGAAATAAATCGTTAAAATCGTTAAAATTTTCTAATCTAATCTATCTAATTTGATAGATTTTAGTTATTTCAGCGATTTATTTCTATCAGTAGCACCGCAAAAAAGTGGATATTGTTGTGTTCCCCCTAATATTTCTTGGTGCCTCCCAATATTTTTCGCAAGTCGGCACTTATGATGAAAATGGCTACATTGTGCAATTAGACGAGGCAAAAGTTGGCAAGAGAAAGTACCAGGGTTGGCAAACGTTGGTTACTTTTCAGTTACTTTGTCGTTACTTTTTATAGTAAACAATTTGATGACAATGTTGCAATTTTTTATGACGATAATGCTAACTAACTAAACGCTAAGGTTGTGCTAAAGTTAGAAAAGTCACTTCGAAAAGTAACTTGTCACTATTATGCGTTACACCGAAAAAATTATAAGTATAACGAGTAACGTTACGCGTAACGTTACTCGTTACTAAAAAGTAACGCGTTACAAATTAGGAGTTATTTTTTTCAGTAACGAATGACTTTTTCAATCCATTGCAAGTAACGATTGACTTTTCTAACTCTGATGTTAGCATTACCATCATAAAAAATTCACAATGTCATTATCAAATTGTTATTATAACAAGGTAACGATCAACAAAGTAACGGCGTTACAAGTAACGCGTTACTTGCCAACCTTGGAAAGTACAATAAAGGTCGTATAATTGAAGGACAATGTTTTTGGTGATATTGAACGTAATATCAAAAACATTTTCATCCTACCTGTACCAAATCGATCCAATAACACTTTCTTATCAATTATACGAAAATATGTCCTGCCTGGTTCAATAATTTATATGGATTAGTGGCGTGCATAAGAACCTTGATAACAATTACACTCATTGTATTGTAGATCATTCAATAAATTTTGTAAATCCTGATACTGGTGTTCATACTCAAAATATAGAGAGAGTATGGCGGGATATGTGAGCAAAAATTCCTTGTTATGGAATACGTGAAAAGCGTTTAGGTACATTATCTCGCTGAATTCTTATTTAAAAGAATATATAATTTTGACGAAAGAATTGACACTTTTTTTGAAATTATAAGTATGGTGTATCTATTGGATGCTTTAAATATTGAATAAAATTGTTCCGAAATAAGACGTTATTTTTTCAAACTTTTTTTGTTAATAACTTTTTAACGAAGGACGAACGATAAAACTTGTTGGAAGTCATTCAGAGTCATGACCTTGACAACATATGTCAAGGTCAAGGTCATTGGAGCTTGGTCCTTTAATCGATATTTTTACCAAAATGAGAAAGAATTGCAGAATGTTGTGTCTAACAATAAGAGCAATTTTATTTATAAATTATTAAATTATTTATAAATTATTAATTGTTAAGCTTAGTTTATGTTTGATGATTATGAATAAACACGAATGTTTAGAAAGGAACGCGCGTCTTAAACATGCTTCAATACTCCTGCAAATTCAAATGCTTAGGCATTAATGACGTCGTGTGTACATACATGCAGACCAGAGAAGTAATATGTTTCATATTAGTTTCATTAATTTTTATTATTAAATTTAGGTTGAAATTTTGGTTATTGTTTATTAATTATTCAAACTTTATGATTGTTTCGTTGCGATAGATCTCGTTTATTGTTATTAACTTTGAAGATGACATAATAGGAGCGTTTGTCCATATATGTACTTGAAGTATTAGTTTTATTATATATTAGCACTGAATAACGAGCATTGGCTCGCAGCCCATTTTATTATATTAGTTTGAAAAACTTTTCGAAAATTTTACATGAATCCTAAACAAGAATGGAACCAAATGGAACTAGTGAGAGTTATAACATGGTATAGTAAGCTATGTAATACTTGGTATTGGATAAAGATTTTGCGCACCACTTACCTCATTATAACTCTCATATAGCCCTATTTGATTTTATTCTTGACAATTTCGAGAGTTTTATATATTTATTTTTAAATCCTATAATTTTTAAATAAATGTAAATTAATTAAACAATATAATCAATTTTAATCAAAATATGAAAAAATTATTAACCTATGTACAGTAAGAAATAAGCGATAACACGAGAAAGATATCAGGGTGCTCCGAGATTCGAACTGAAGTCTGGGGGTCTATTCTTGAAAAGAAACGTATACGAAAGTCTAGGGAAATACTACAGTATACGTTACATATACTATAGTATTTTCCTAGTTTTTCGTATACGTTTCTTTTCAAGAATAGAGCCCCTGGTCTTTTCCATATTGGTAGACTTCCGTCCTGCCACCGAGCCACAGCTCTGACGCTGATAACTTCTCTGTTATGCCTATTTCATCTAAATTTCTTACAGTACATTGTCACAATTATCTTATAATGTAGGGTCATTTGTGACAATGTGAAGAGAAATTGGTACACAGCCATTATTACAAATAATTGTAACCTAGCGAACACTACACACAAAAAAATGAATTCTTAAAGGAATGCATAAATGCTTTAATCGAAGAATATTTCATGCTTAAAATAGTGCTAAGAATAAACAATTTCCAATTAAAAATAAATTAGTCTTAAAATAAAATAAATTATATTCTTAGTTCAAAACAAATTTTATTTCAATAAAAGAATAAAGTTGCACTCGTTCATCATTAAATATGCTTGTATTAGCATTATTTTTTCTTCAATGATACCTTTTGTCAACTTATTTCAAGCCCCTAGTATGCTTTCCAGTAACATCAAGATGACAGAAACCAATGCTGCAGTAAGTGATGATAGCTTTGTAAATGAAGTGCTATAAACACATCTATAAAGTCATATCTATAAGTCTATAAATACATTTATAGAACATGCCTCCTAATGTGCACGGAGTACAAGCTCTCAAGGAAAAACTGAATCAAACTCTACTAATGTGATTGAAAGACAAGTGAAATGCTGAAACCGTTCTACCAATACCTCCGTTAGCTATATTGCAAATAATGATGCAAACAGACGGTCAATCTCGTCATAATGGTAGAGAACGCTGGCTGCACACACAGGCTGAGCAATAGATCCGCCGCGGCGGATTTATTGTTCATCTCACCCATTTAACTGTGGATAGCAGATCCGCGAATCCGCCGCGGAAAATCCGCCCGCGTGTATAGGCAACCGCCTCTTCTAAATCCAAAAGTAAATAGTTTCTAAATAATGCGATTGAGTTTGTTAGAACCATGTAATGATTTTAGAAACAAGAACACAATTTTAAGAATAAAATACTTTGCACAAATCTATTTATTATTGACGCCAGTGAACATTTATAATTGAAGAGAACATTTTATGCTTAAATGAAAGTAAATAGCATACAAGAATAAAAATATAAATGAATCAGGAATTCATTTTTTTCTGTGTATGTAACTTGGGGTTCGCTGGGTAATTAATATTCTATTAAAGAATGATAGGATAAACATTTCGAAATGAATCAAAATACATTTTAAAAACAAAAACTTATACTTTGATGTAACATTAATAAAATTAAACAAAAAAAATTAAATGCCGGTATTGCAACGTTTTGAAAATCAGCTTAAAATCGTTATTTTGTGTCTTTTAACCACTATTTTGCTTAAAATTGTGACGTGGTAGCCAACTTTTACCGACATTCAGAACGCAAGAATACGTCAAAAATGACTATTCTCAACACAAACTCCTGTTGCAAAATGGCCTTGCATAGTGAATTATTGTATTCAATAATTAGAAGTTATTATAGACTTTATATTTTAGAGAAAAATAAAACACCATACGACTAAAACAGTATCCGATTAAAATGTAATGATCGTTTAAATAATATTTAGATTTTGATTTTTCATGTATGGTTTTGACAAATACATGAAAGTTTCTTTTTTATACAAAGAAGCATAATTAAGTACTTTTTGTGTTTGATAACATCAAAATTTGTTTTTCATTCAAATATATTACAATGTATAGTCACTCTACTATCACAATTACACATAGTGATCTAAATCTATGTTTAATAGTGAAATTAGACCTAAATATAATTGTGTTGATTCAAAATATTTTTTCTACAAAATAACGTTCGTTTCGTTTATAAAAAGTAAAAAGTAGAAGGCAGCCAACTTAATAAGCAATTTGTCAAAAGAGTGTTAATTTTTCTAAATAATATGTCACTAATATGTTACTCATTTAGAGACTCAAACATTTTTTCTTTTTAGTAAAATGATTTTGAATTTATAATTTGTTTTTTATATGAAATGACCGGATCTCACGAAGTCACATTCGTTTAAGAATATTATAAAACTGGAAGAAAAATTCAAGAAAAATGGCTCTCTGGTTTGTGAAGCATCATATATGAACTACTTTTCCTTTAGGTCGCTGTTCACTAAAATATTTCGTTTATAGTGCCGTTGAAGATGCACGACTAGTACGCTTTATGCGAAATATCATTGTTTGGGAACGTTACGTTTGTACGTGTAGGGCGTACTAAAATTTAATTTACATTACTCGATAAGTAACGTCATTATTCATTTGGAAATACCACTTTACTTCTGCTATAAGTACGCGGTGTGTTTGCTACTGTGCTCAAGTGCGGCAAGAACATCCTGCTTTTGTCTAACGTACAGCCGTCCTTTTTTCCACGGATTTTGCAACTGAAGCGGTTTAAAATCATCCCTTAAACAACGCTCTCGCGCACCAATTACGGCAACTAGACAAAAGTTTGGTAACTCATCGGCCGCGTAAGTGGGTCCCCTTTGTCCTTTTAGGACCACTGCCATATTAAGTTGCTTCACAACAAGATCCACGACTTCCCGCGCCGTGGTCCTTGGTGTTACGTGCAGCTTCAAACTAGTACCAGCTGCTAAACCAGTCTCGTAGGCCGCATAAACCTGCAAAGATATTATGATAATATATCTCTTATAAAGGGTACATCACATGATAGGAAGAATAACAAAATGCAACAATTTAGCATAAGAAATACGATTATCCATAAACGTGTATATATAATTAGGGTCCATAAAACTATATAATTGATACAACATGTTATGTCGATGTGTAAGCTTATGTGTAATATAAATGTGTATATATATATATATATAATATATAAGCTTATGTGTAATATATAAGTTTATGTGTAATATATATGTGTATCTAAAAAATACTTCAATACTTAGTGAATAAAAAGAAGGTGCTATAAAAGAATATTCAGTACTTTATGAATTCTTATTTTTATTTACAAAAGAGTATATATGAAGCCTTTCAAAATTTATTATTTGTTTTAAAGTTAATATTTTTTTGTAATTCACTCTCTAAGTGGCACATACCACTTAACGTATTAAAAAAAGCGTTTAAAAATGTAAGCGCTTTTTTAACACTTTGCAGTGCTACTCCTTATGGAAAAAAACTATTAATGCGTAATAGTGCACAGTAGTGCACTACTGACATTTAATAGTGTCACTACTGATATCAGTAGTATCACCAGTGATACGCAATAGTGTCACTACTGAGCCAGTAGTCTTACTACTGCAGTAATGTATGACGACATATGACATAACATAGAACTATTTTCAGTAATTGTAATGTTTGTTATACAAAATTTATTAGAGTAAAAGGTACATATATATCATTGGAGCAATTAGTATTATTTCAGCTTGTAAAAATAATATTTTACGGTATTATTAAAAACAAGTATTATAGCTAGGTATCGTCATTTACATTACAATTATATTTAACATTAATTATTTTTCTATACATGTTCCGTCTCTGTCATAACATCTTTGACGAGATATGTTACAATTATACGTCCGTTAGCATTATAGGTGTTCATGGTTCTTCGAAGAAGCAGTTCCCGTATGATCGCAGGGTCAAACATAGTAAGTGAACTTACGTATTCAAATGGGTGCATAATTGAATCGTAAAATTAGTTCTCGAATTCATGAAGGAAACTTTTTTATTACAATTTTGTCGTATATCCTCTAAAATATGATGCTAATCAATAATACCTATTTTTGCAATAAAACTTCAGTAAAATTTCAATGAAATTTCAACGAAATTTTTTCCATCACTATTACGCTACTAATCACACTAGTAGTGTAATAGTGATCGAATTTACTATTGCACTATTACACTAATTGTGACACTAATAGTTTTTTTCCGTAAGTGACTTGTAGATCAATAGATCGTTGTAGTGATTTTGTTATCCATTTCAACAAGTATGAGAAGTGGGTAACCTTTTATTTATATAGAACATTAAAAAAAATATTTAAGCCCAGTCGAGGTTCCTATTGAAGGGGAGGTGGGCTTTCTAACATTTTGCAGATTTTGGGCGTTTTTACTGAAAGTGTTAAGGTTAAATGTTGTTGCAATCGATAGTTAATACTTTTATTCCAAAACGGACGGAAACTCCCCCTTAGAAGAGTATAAAATACCCCTCAGAACGGTACAAGAGGTCGCTATACCGGGTCAAAGTAATACATTTATTCTGAAAGAAAAAATTGATAGCGACAAAGTTGAATTTCTGTCTAATTTTTGACACAGTGTGGCGATCTCTTACAACCTTCTGAAGAATATGGAAGCTTCCGCCAATAATACCTTGGAATAAGGGTTCTAACCATCGATTGCAACATTTAACCTTAACGCTTTCAATAAAAACGCTCGAATCTGCAAAATTTTGTAAAACACACCTTCCCTTTAATAGGAACCACAATGGGGCTTAAATTTAAAAAAAAAATTTTCTTTTTATATATGTTTTACATGAAATAGAAAGTTACCTACTTCCTATACTTGCCGAAATGGGTAACATAATCACTACAGTGACCCCTTAGTCTATTAAGTCAACGTCTCAATCTTACAAACACAATTTGTGTTTAGACAAACACTAGAAAAATGCAATACATATCCAAGCTATAATAAATACACAGTCGTATAACACGATATATTGCCATAAAAATCACGTTATTAATAACACAGGCCTGCGATGATTAGAAAACAGAAATGAGAGTAGTCATTTCTTACATAATTTTTCATGCTGAATCGAAATGTGGCAACAAAATTGTTCCATCACATCAGGATTTCGAGATATTCTAACCTAAAGTTGCAAAAAACGCTTTTTTGATATATTCGAGTTTCTGCCGTATTTAGAGTATACCTCTCTCAACATTAGCACTAATTTTACTTGAAAGTACTAAATCTTACCTTTCAAATCCATATTGTTTTAATTTGATATAATTTTTGATAAATCTTGATAAAAGGGGGCTCAGCTCCGATGACCTTGACTTTGACCTTGAAATGTTATCAAGGTCGTAACCTGAGTGACCTTGAACAAATTTTAGCCGTCGCTCGTTATTCATTAAAAAGTTATGAATAAAAAAAGTTGAACTATATAACACGAGAATGCTCTGCTTTAAAATATGTTTGATAATCGTGCATTGTAGGAGATGTCGCGCCGATGACCGCGACTTTGACATATGTCATCAAGGTCATGACCCTGAGTGACCTTCAACAAGTTTGAGCCGTCGTTCGTTAAAAAGTTATGAACAAAAGAAGTTCAACTATATAACACCAGAATTCACTGTTTTAAAATATGTTTGATAGTCATGCACTGTAGGGGACGCTGAGCCGACGACCGCGACTTTGACATACGTCGTCAACGTCATGACCCTGAAAGACCTCCAACAGGTAGATGGCTTTCACCCTCGACTCTTACCCCTCTTCCTCCTGCAAAGGAGCGCACGACTTTCACCCTCGATTTTCTCTTCCCCCCTGCAAAGAGGCGCATGGCTCTCACCTCCGACTTTCCCCCCTCCCCCCTGCAAAAGGACGCACGACACACCCCCGACTCTCACTTTTCTCCCCGCCTGCAAAGGGGCGCATAACTTTCACTGCCGATTGTCACCCTTCTTTCCCCTTGCAAAAGAGCGCACAACTCTCAAACAGGGGGATGGGGAATGAGAATCGGACGCCCCTTTGCAGGGGGAGAGGGTGAGAGTCGTGCGCCCCTTTGCAGGGGGGAGGGGGGAGAATCGAGCGTCTCTTTGTAGGGGGAGGGTGGGATGAGAGTTGTGTGCCCGTTGGCAGGGAGGGAGGGGGGTGAAAGTCGCTTCGTGTTGAAAGTCAAAATCTATGTAGAATAGTATTTAGTATTGCATGTATAGCAGAAATAATGTTATTTTCCAAACTTTTTTTGTTAATAACTTTTTAACGAAAGACGGTTGCGGGCTAAAACCATCTGAAGGTCACTCAGGGCCGTGACCTTGATAACGTATGTCAAGGTCAAGGTCATCCGAGCTGGATCCCCTTTTGTCAAGAGTTACCTAATTTTTTTTCGGAGATGTAACATTGAATTTTTGGTTTCAGTAACAACTGGGCAAATGATATACAGAAATATATTGCAGTCAAGAAATGGGGATATATTTCTTATTCATTGCCTACATATATTTCTTATTCTAAAGCCTACAAATCCTAAGCCCTTAATGTCTAAACTCCTGAGCCATAAACCGCTTAAAGTACCAACCTTTAAATCCTAAAATCTTTGAGTTTAAAAAAATGTTTAAAGAATGGATATTAAGAGTTTTGGATTTGGAGGCTTTGCTCAATTTTCAACTAGTGAATAATAAGTATATCCCCATTCCTTGACTGCAATAAATTTATGTATGTATATCATTTACTCAGTTGTTACTGAAATATGGGTTTGAAAGGTAAGATATAGTACTTTCGTGTAAAATTAGTGCTATGTTAAGAGAGTATACTCTAAATACGGCAGAAACTCGAATATACAAAAATAAGCGTTTTTTGCAACTTTAGGTTAGAATATCTCGAAATCTTGACGTGATGGAACAATTCTGTTACCAGATTCTGATTCAGCATGAAAAACTACCCAGGAAACTGCTACTCCGGCAGCTCTTTTTGTTTCTTTTTAGACTCTTCATTTCACAGGCCTGTGTAATTTTTAATTCTTTATACAATATCTCTTGCCTGTGCGTGCGTGCGTGTGTGCGTGCGTGCGTGCGTGCGTGCGTGTGTGTGTGAAACTGCGTATATCATTTCATGGAAACTCATGAAATATTGATACGATCTCATACTGTGTTATAACACATTACATACACATACAATTTATCTTTAATATACGAGTATTAGGAATGAGATTTAATTTTGAGGGTTTTGCAAGAGATGACACTAATGTCAATATAGTCGAAGACATTCCAATCGCAGCTATTATTTCTTAATGTTTTACTATTACTCCATGATATTTAGTACTTTATTAGCAATAGAGGCAGTAAACATCGTGTTCACCATTTAAAAAATGGAGCTTCCTAAAGAGCATTTTCAGCATGCGTTGCTTTTGTTTTTTTAATCAGAAGAAAACGGCGACTGAAGGTCACAGAATTCTGATAGAAACTGATGGTAATGTTGCTCCATCAATTAAGACATGTGAATATTGATTCAGACGATTCAAAAGTGGTGATTTTAATGTTAACGACAAGGATCATTCGGGACAACCAAAAAAGCTGGAAAATATAGATTAAATTTGCAAGCATTATTGAATGAAAATCCACTTCAGCACAATTCACTTCAGAATTTTCCAGAGAATGGAATATTGATAGTACAACAGTTACTAAACATTTACGTGATATGGGAAAGATTCACAAAGAAGGAAAATGGGTTCCACATCAATTATTGGAAAATGCCATTGCGAACCGATTGAACATTTGCATTTCGTTGATCTCCAGAAAAAAAAAGAGTTTTTTGTATCGAATTGTTACTGGGGATGAAAAATGAATCTATTTTGGTTATCTCATACGAAAAAAATGGGTTGATCCAAGCCAACCAGCAGCATTCACTTCAAGACGCAATATTCACGGTTTAAATGTATTTCTGTGTATTTTATGTGAGATCAAGAAAGTGATGTACTGTGAATTATTAAATTCAAAAGAAACTGTTACCGCGCGCTAAGCGTTATCGACAACAATTATACAAATTGAAGCATTATACCAAAAACGGTCTCCAATTACAAGTAAACGACGCAAAGTGATCCTTCTTCACGACAATGCTCGACTTCATATTGTATTATCAGTGAAGCGAATGCAATTAAAGCTGGAATAATAAGTCTTATCGCACCCCGCATATTCTTCAGACATTGCACCATCTGATTTTCACTTGTTCCAGTCAATGCAACATGTTATAGAGGATACACACTTTCATAATTTCGAAGATGTGCGAAAATTTGCTAAAATTTGGATGAACTCCAAAGAAGAATCTTTATCGCGGAATCCATCTTTTGCCAGAAAGAAGAGAAAATTTATACAAAACGAAGGAAAATATTTTAATTAAAGTATTCGTTCATTATCTTATTTAAATAAATCAGTATTTGAGAACAACATCCTGAAAATTAAATCACGCTCCTAATAGCTATTATAAGGTGTAAAATGATCATAATAAATATTTCATGCCATATTGATTTTGGCATACTAAGCATACGAGGGTAAATCAATAAGTATCAGTGTTAGTAATGAAGACGCAAGATTTTCACAAAACTTTTTTTTATTTTTCAACGTAATCCCCTTTTAGGGGGATACACTTTTCCCAATGTTTCCGCCATTTTTTTAATCCCTCCAAAAAATACGATTCGTCGAACTCTGCAAAATAGGCCTCTGTTTCGGCAATGACCTCCTCATTCGACGTGAATATTTTTCCACCGAGCCATTTTTTCAAGTTTGGAAACAAGAAGAAATCGCAGGGGGCCAAATCCGGAGAGTATACGATGGATGCGGCAGCAATTCGTACCGCAATTCGACCAATTTGACTATGGCGACTGCAGAGGAGTGAGCCGGTCCATTATCCTGATGGAACAACACTTTTATTTTCGCCAAATGGGGGCGCTTTTCTTCAATTCAACATCGAATCGGCCCAATAAGTCAGCATAGTACTGCCCCGTGACAGTTTTGCTTTTCCCCATGTAGTCGATGAAGATTACGCCTTGCTCATTCCAAAAATCAGTGGTCATCATTTTTCAGGCCGATGGGACCGTCTTGGCCTTCTGCGGAACACGTTCGCCGGGTGAAATCCACTGTTTTGACTGTACTTTGGTCTCCGGTGTGTAGTAATGAATCCATGTTTCATCAACGGTTACTACTCGACGCAAAAACTCCTTCGGATTGCGCTTGAACAGCTCCAAACATTGCTTTGAAATTGATAGCCGCATTCGCTTGTTGTCCACCGTGAGCATTCGCGGCACCCATCGGGTCGACAGCTTTTTCATTCCTAAATTATCATGCAAGATATTAAATGCCGTTCCATACGACACGCCTATGGCCTCTGCTACTTCATGCACTTTCGTTCGTCGATCAGCGAGAATCATGTCGTGGACTTTTTCAACGATTTCCTCAGTAACCACTGCCGGACGGCCTGGGCGCTCGTCATCAAAAACAGATGAACGACCATGTTTGAATTCGTTGAACCAATATCTGACGGTTGTCATAGATGGTGAAGAGTTCCCATAGACGGCATCCAACTTCGTTTTTATTTCTTCGCACGTTTTTCCATCCAAAAATAAAAAGCGAATCACGAATCGATATTGTTCTTTTTCTATAGTATCAGAAAACATCAAACACTCTCACTACGAATTGCTGTCAAATCAAGACTATTGCATGAATCACTCTGAAATTTTGTATGGCGTCATTTGAAAGATGGTAGTACACGGTGGTAATGCCAACTTGCATCAGCAACGTCACCTGTCTTCAAACACGGTTACTTATTGATTTACCCTCGTATATGTGACAGCTTACTTAATATGTCCACTACATCGGTTTGCACTAGAGAACCAAGTGAATAATTGTTTTTAATCATAATCGGGTTAGACTTGCGTTCCCTACAGGAAGGAAGAATATCATTTAAAAACTGTATATGGCGAATCCAAGGATTTAACGTTGCTAAAAATTAAAATTTTCGAAATGTTGCATCTAGTATGATAAATGTTAGTATGAGGAAAAATATTAAATATTGCAAAATTAAAGGCTATACCTGAAGAATTCCAGGTAAAGGTGCTGGCATCATCGTTGCCTCTTCCTTCTCCTCGTTTAGATTATCCGACGTAATGGCGGCCATCGCCGCCACGCTCGCAGTTGGTTTGGACATTTTGACCTTGACTGAGTGGCCAGGTTTCAAACAGATGCCCGAATTTGTCGCGGGATAGTCGTCGCTACTCAGTGAGTGCAGACTGTCGGAATTCGTATTGCTCACACTGAGCAGGCTCGTAGTATTCGTCATCGTGGTGGATACACTTAACAACGAACCGCTATAAATGATAGGTTTAATACTCAGTAACGGACTGGTGTTAGCTGATGCCGATGTTATCGTAGCAGAACGATTTCGCGGGCTGTGTTTGTACTTGGAGAAAATCAATGTGTCCTCGGACTTGGAGGGCGGTAATCTCATGTTCTGCAGCGGTACCAGATAATTCGTGCTGCTAGTGGTTGTCAGATTACTACTGCTACTTATCGGTTCGCACGACGATTTCTGTGGCTGCGAAATTGTCGACGTGTTCGAGGTGTTGCTACCTTTGTATATATACTGTCCACTAGGCAGCTGTTGTTCGCTTTTGCTGAATTCTGTCATAAGGAGATTGGAAGATGACTTCGACAGATTGGGACCTGGCCAGCTGCCACGGCCAGGACTCGATTTTACGAGCTTAGGGTCTCTAGGTGGTAATTGTAATAAACTTCGTTTCAAGCTATTACTATTGTTCTTATTTCTATCCAAACTGAGTAAGTGCTTCATAGATATGCCCACGGTTTGCATCGCAATCTGTGAGAAAGTATCAATTAATCACAAACGATATAAAATTAAACAGTGTTTAAATAAACTTAAAGTACAATAAAATACGTTACGGAAAACATTACGTAATAATAATTACGTTTTGTTGGGAGGAGCCACGATCTCTCGCGAAAGTTATAACATCGATTAGCCATCTAGCGCCTTTCCATACGGTGTTCACTTGTGACTGAAGATCTTGTAGTCTCGCCAGTTTGTCCTTCGCAATGCTCAATTCCAAGGAACTGAAGGCTTCTCTGTGATTATGCTGAGCCTGTGCGGTGTCCAATTCCAAGATGCAACTGAGTCTCGAGTAACGATTGATTACATCCTTCTGATACGTACTCAAGTGGACCATTTCGAAGACCTGAATGGGCAACGATAAGAGATCACTGCGCTGTAACAGGATTTCTCGCGTGCCAGGTACGCAGCAGGCTGTTTCGGCAGGTGGTACGACGATTAGGAATGAGACGTCGTGAGTTAGATCTATCACCTCAGCGTCGTATAACCGATGCACCAGCGAATCCTCTGGACTGACCTCTATGTAATTAAACAGACGTCGCGCTGTTGCGGCAACTAGGTCAACAAACAGCTTTTGCTGCTCCGTACCTTGCGCCTCGTTCGTCACATTCTCCTTTTCTTCAGATTCCTTCACGGAAGTCTCAGACGTGCTGATGCGTGTTATTCTTTTGAGATAATCCCATTCCTCCCTTGACAAATAAAAACGAAAGTATGATAATATAACGTAAATAATTCAGAAATGTGATATTTTGTGTTTTAATAAGTTTCAATGAATGTAAACTTACGCTGATACGTGCGGATTGTCGCGAATCTTACAATGTGGCAATACATTCGGAGATTTCGTTGGGACAACGACTTGTATGAGATCTACGCTACTTTGCATTTTCAGATAACCGAGATATAAACCCTTAGATAGTTTAATACTGCTGACTTGATGGTATGTCATTTGTTCTTGTATGCTGGCCATCAAGATGTCGGCGACGTTACTGTCTTCGTGCGTTATGATCTTCTTTATAACTTTATTGAGTGGTAACCATCTGCTGTTTAATACAGAAATCAATTTTGACGACTTTATATAATTTATTGTCGAGATCACTAAGGTGCCTTGAATGTCTCTAATGGGTTTATGGTATAACTGTCCAAGGTCTTGTATGCACAATGCAGTCTGCAAAGTGAATTAAACAAAAATATCATAGGATTATACGTATTTTTATATATTGAACAATACGAGCTCATAAATGGTTAAGCTAAATTAAAGTTTTCTATGTTTTTAATAAACGATTCACAACATTACCTGCATTTGAGCAGCAGCTTGAAGCAACTTTATCCTAAAATGATTAGTCGAGCTGCTGTGACTCTTTTCCATATCCTGCCGAAGGGATTTAACATCATCCCATGTACAGGCAACTTTCATGAGCCAATGAAAATCATTGTAAATACAACTGGGATACATCTCATCAATCTCGATTACGGGTAAGAAGTCCTCGTTGGTAACAAGAACTTTGTCCTCGTGGTAGAGCAGACATGCTAGAAACACTCCTCGTCTGAGATTCTTCTGGAATTTACTTGTTGCCGTGAAGAGTTGCTTTATCGTTGTTTTTTTCTTGTGATTTCGCCTCTGTACCGCTGGCGTTTCTTGTGTATATTCCGGACGCTTTATGTCGGTAAATAGAGTGTTGAGCTGTTCCAGCCGTCCCGCGAATCTGGACATTCTACCGTCTATGTCTCTCCAACCTTGAAATTATCGTAAATATTTATATTATTTGTAAAATCAAGAATATTTAAACTCGTTATGATAATAAACACCGATGATCATAATCATCATTATATAATCGTACTACTGCAACGGTATAACAAGATTGACGCTATACGTATACTTACTGCTAGGTGTAACGTGTGCGGGCGTCGAGTTCCTGAACCTACTATAGCCTTTCAAATTTCCTGCGGCCACACGAAAATGTCTCTTTCTGCTTTATGTCCAAGACTTCTTTCTCGCCGCAAATAACCGAAAAGTCATCGTGCAGGCTCCATTGAACTTTAAATTTAGTACAAATCGGAGAGTCATGCGAGTCTGGTTCTTGAAACCTGACTGTTATTGACATCGTTCCAATGACATCGATCGCGACTGAGAAAGGTATATCGGGTGGGCCTGAAGTAAACGTTTATATTTTAGTGTAAAAGTATTTGTGTATGTGTCACAAATTTATCCCTTCAAAATGGTACTAGATATATATGCTTACATATCTTTGGCGCGCTAACACAATTTGAGAATTTATATTAAATGTTTTATATTAAATATTAAATTAAATATTAAATATTTATATGAAATAAGCATATTAAATCTTTTATATTAAACATTTTACATTAAATCTATTACACTCACGCGCTTGATCGAAACCTAGCAACATTTTTCTGAGGGCCCTGGATCTCCTTTCCCACAGGGCAAGTTGCTTATCCTCTGTGCTACCACTGCATCCCGTGAGGTTGTTGTGTTGTGTGGAAAAACTGGCTCTATGGCAAGGTGGTTCCAATAGATTTGTTCCGCCGCTGCCAGAAGTACTGCCGCCGAGCTCTTGAACTCTGTACTCTGCTTCCGAGAGCAATGATGCTAAGTGGTTACCCAGAGATTCCGGAGACTTGACTGTGTCAATAAAATATCGAACGTATATACAAATTCATAGTTAAATAGTGTCTGAGAGTATGAATTACGATTAATTTAAAATATATTTAAAACAAACTTCACATTTTGATCAGAAATCTATGAACACAGAGTTAGATCCTCTT